GTCAAAGTAGTTGGGTCTTTGGGTTTATCAAACCTAATGCTACTCTGTATGTTTGCTTCTGCAGATTGTGGGCCTCATCTTACTGTGAGTACTGCGTAACTGCTTGATTTCTTGTCTAATCTCTACCCAGTGCCAAACAGTTTTGCTGATTACTGCTTTACAGTACCATCTGCGACACAGCACTGCTGCAGTCCTTCTCCTCCCCACCTTTCTTCAAGAAATTGCTTGAGACTCTTGACATTTTGCTTCTCCAGATTAACATTACTGTTTTTCCTAGCTCTGTAATGTAATCCTTTGGTACCTTAATTGGTATGCCACAGAATAAGTAAATAAAATGAAGGTGAATTGGCATTTTTATTATACTGGCATGATCCAACCATTAGCAGTTAATATCTCACCACCTTTTCAAGTCTAAATTTATTTAAAGAGTGTTTTGTAGTTATAGTCATATAGTTCCCTTGTGTGTGCCTTGGTAGATAGACTCGAAATATTTTATCCATTCTGTAGTTATTCTGAATCTTTCTCCCCCTGCTAGGTTTTGTTGGTGATAGACAGAAAGGTTAATTATCTATGTGGATTTATTTTATATCTTGCTACTGTGCAGAAGTTATTATTTCATTTAATTCTTAGTTGACTCTCTAGAGTTTTCTAAGTAGATATCAGCTAAAAGTGATACTTTTGTTTCCTCTTCGCTTATGCTTATGAGAAATTTTCTTTTCTCATCTTACTGCTATAGCTAACTTTTGTTAACATACTATCAAATAAAGGCTATGATAACAGACATGGCTATTGGTCTATAGTTGTGTTTGTTTTCTCCCTAGTTTAGGCATCAAAATCATATAAGCATCACAAAAAAAAAACTGATTGGATTCCTTCTTTTCCTAATTTTTGCAAACTATTTATGTAATACTGGTATTAATTATTTCTTGAATGTCTGATAGAATTTGACTGTACATCCATATGGTTTTGCATTTTTCTCCCATGAGAGTTATGGCTAATTTAATTTATTTTTTCTGAGATGGCATTATTAAATTCTTTACTTCTTATTCTGTTCATCTGAGGTTGAAGTCCACGGTGTCTCAAGCCTCTGACCCTGCTGTCACTTTGCCTCATTTCTTTAGGTTCTGCTTTTACCTTTAACCTCTAGAATAGAGGTATCAAACACACCTGCCCCAAACAGATGAAAATGTAGTTGGGAAATATTTAACAAAATAAATAAAAATACAATAAAACATAGATAATGTGACATTTAAAATTAAGTCAATATGTAGCCCTCAGGGGTCCTTGGATCCTGTTTCTATTTGAGCTTGATAACACTTCTCTAGTGTCCTCCTGGAAAGAAATCACTTAACTGTCTCCGGTTATTTCTGTCTACAAAAATCCACAGCTGTCTTTGTCTTTCTAGTTTTCCCTTTTAATAAAAGTCTACCAAAACGGGGCCATTTATTTCATTGCTACAGCTCTGTCTGGTAGTTTTATTTATTTACCTTTCTTACATTTCTCGTTTGGGGTATCGGTAAGTTGAATAACTTGTTTGCAGTTTTCTTCTCTCTCTCTCTCTTTCTCTCAATTCAAATACTTCTCTTTCACTGACTGTCCATCTCGTTCACTGATAATTACACTGGGTTTGCAAGGTCTATCACTTTGGGTTGCATCTTGAGCTTTTCCATTCCTTTCTGTGGCAGGTCAAAACAGGCACAGAAAAGTCTTGTTATTAAAATTCCCTTTCCTTTCCAAACAATTAGTTGTTTATCACTGTAGCTGTGAAATTTAACCACTCTGTATCTTGGAGTCTGGAAGCACAGGTGTTTGCTTCTGTGCCCCCACGGTCTGTGGCCTTGCTGGGGGATGCCTGGTTTTCTGTCTGCAGAAGTCGTGGGCAGGTTCCTTTCATTACTTCTGTCATCGAGGTCCCCCTCCTTTCCTCTGGCAGGCCTAGGACCTTCTTCCCTCTGTGTCCAAGCCTAGAAATTATTGTTTTTCACTCACACAGAGGCCATGTTTTCTTTCAATCTTGTCGCTTCTGGCTCCTCTTCCAAGTCTCCACTTCTCTGTTTGCTGGTGTTCTCAATACGCTCTCTTTTGCTTCTTGGGGGAGGCTGGCCATCATCGATTCAAGGTTTTCTAATTTGCTAAGTAATTCTGCTGTCACTGTCCACCTCTAAATTTTTCTCTTAAGGTTCTGATTTGTCCCTTAAACCATTCTGGAGTATCTCGCAGCAGTGTGAAGCACTGCTGGGAATCTAAAGGATTCTGCGTTTCATCAGGCATTGGTTCAATTCCCTTTGTCTTGCAATATTTATTTAGACACACTTGCAATTATTTAGATATTTTAAGTCTTCTATTATCTGTTTGTGCGGTAGGTTTTAAAGTGAATTTTCTCCTCCTGAGATCTTTGGCGGTTTGAATCTTTTGTCTTTATGTTCTCCTGTACCCACTTTCTGAATGGTCGGTTTGCCTATGCGGCTGAATCTCAAAGTCTCTGCCCCCTTCCACATCAGGGAACCGATTTCTTTCCACTGGCCTCGGTCCTTTCCTTAAGCCCTAATGCAGCCCCACACGCTGGTGCTCTGCCCCAGTTCCCTCTGTCACACGCTTCTTGTGGCCTTAGGGGAAGGTTTTCTGCCACCACCTTGGGGATCCCTGACTTAGGAGCCACCCTAGACTGAATACCTGCCTCCTTCCTTCCAACATGGTCCTGTCCTCCTATACTTCTCTCTTCTCTGCAAGTGGCTAGGCAGAGTTGAGGTCTGGCGCTTGTTGCAGGAGAATGCCAGGGTAAGGGCAGGGGCAATGTGTGCCAGCAGAGAATGCTGAGTGGGTCAGGAACCCTGCCAGAGCATGGAGGGAGGGGCTACTGGATGAGTGCGAGGCCTGATGATTTTTCACTGTTATTTCATCAGGCTGTCAGGCTGTTACCTTGTTGGACTTCTTGGTTTCTCAGCCTGTAAAGACAGTCACAACTGTTCCACCTCTGACACAAAATTCCTCTTCCAGATTATTTTTTAAAATGAATTTATTTTTAGTTTTCAGCATTCACTTCCACAAGATTTTGAGTTCCAAATTTTCTCCCCATCTCACCCCTCGCCCACCCCAAGATGGCATGCATTCTGAATACCCCTTCTCCTAATCTGCCCTCCCTTCTACCTCTCCCCCTCTTCCCTTTCAATTTTCCTGTATGGCAGGATAGATTTCTATACTCCATTTCCTGTATCAGATTATTTTTTAAAGAATTAGTGGGCTTTAGAGAAAACGTCGAGTCCTACTCCTCCTCCTCATTCTCCCATCTTGCTAGTAAGTTCTTCATAATAAATTTTAGTAAAATTTCTCACCAAAAATGGTCAAATAAAGTTTTGGCACATAAGTGGATAAGCTAAACTGAGACGGAAAACTGATCTGTTATTCTTCTCCAATGATGTGTACAAGTGAAGTAATGCGGCATACTCCGTTTACCTTGATGGTATAGCTCACCTCAAATGAATCCCGCCTCTAGAAATTTGTCACCAGCTGCTGCCAAAATTCTTCAGGTGGAAAATAATAAAGGAACTAATGGTCCCTCTTCCAAAGGGGGAAGGAAACTATCCCAAATCAATCCTGCTCCCTCAGAGTGTTTCCAGAACTAGTCAAGGAATAAACAGAAGCCCTAGCAGAAGGAAGGTGAGTCTAAGTGAACAAATTCTAGATGCTAGAGATGGTGGATGCTCATGAGAAAATAGGAACAACTCATCCTTCTAGAGGACTCTAAAACAGGCAAAGCAATTTCCTTATAACCACCCTGTGACAGCAGTGGAAATAATTCTGTTGTTGTTCAGTCGTTTTTCAGTCGTGTTCAACTCTCTGTGACCCCATTTGGGGTTTTCTTGGCAGGGATACTGGAGTGGTTTGCCATTTCCTTCTCCAGCTCATTTTACAGATAAGGAAACTGAGGCAAACAGGGTGAAGTGACTTGCCCAGGATCACACAGCTAGGAAGTGTCTAAGGCTGGATTTGAACTCAGATCTTCCTGACTCTAGCCATTGCCCCACCCGGCTGCCCACTAGAAATACTACTATTGTCCAAATGGAGATCCAAGAGAACTAATCACTGTTACAATGATAGCTGTAAGGATTTGTGTAGTTTTTTCCAAGGTTTACAAAGGTCTTCCGTATATGATCTCATTAACTCCAAGGAGACAGCCAGGTCTGGAGAAGCTTACCAGAACCTATCACACATCACACAAATGACCGCCAACTCTGTCCCCAAGCATCAAGGCTCCAAGTCTCCCCCTCTTTGGACACTCACCTGCTCTTTTTTCTAACATCACTCCTATTTCCTCACTCACGTTTCTCAAAAATAGTCGACATTCACCATCACACCTTAGACATCAGCTTTCCCTCCAAAGCACACTTCAGGATGCTGAAGATCCCTATGACCTCATTCCAAGGTTGGGGTATTGACATCACAAAAGGGGCTTGTCATGGGTAGTGGCAGCCACAAGGCGAGGGCACAGAAGGGACACCTACTTCCCAAATGCAATGCTGGAGTAGGCCTATGTTTCAAAAGGGTTGGGAAAGGGGATGTAGATGGTTTTCTAAATACAGAAATGCTCAGTCTATTTGGGGAAGCCACTAACTTGTTTCTTTTAATACAGTAACTACTCTCTTGGAGAACATGAATTTTGGGCATTAAGATATCTTAAAACTACTTAATGACAAGCAGACAAAATACAAAACCTTAAGAAAAGTAATGCCTCAGAAATGCTTATAGCACTGGAAGTCAAATGCAGAAGGAAAATGGTCGTTATATAGGGTAATTAGTTTGGATCCTCAATGGCCCCACCATTAGATTTGAATCTCAAGTGGCTGGACAATTAAACTGTATGTGGTTTCACAACTTCATGCAAGGGATTTCTCAGTCACAGAACAATGTTACTGCTGAGGAATAATGCTAGTCCAAGAAGCCACATGTAGCTTTACACAGGACTCCCATTAAAAGGTAAAAATCTGACTTGTTTGACATACCTTCTGAGCAGCTTCTTTCTTCTTTTTATCCTCTTTCTTCCTTTTCTTGTCTTCCATTAACTGTTCTTCCCTTTCTTGCTCCTTCTCTCTGTCAAAATAAAACAGTTTTCCCATGAGTAAGCCCCAGAGACACGTCGTCCGTGCTCTCACATCGCTGAGTTCAGGCCAGCCAGTCTAGGGCTGAAAAGGAGACCAACACCTCAAGCACCACTGCGAACAAGCAGAGAAAGGCCTCCTCCTTTCTCTCCTTTTCGGTTCTGCTCTGGATATCCCAGGGAGCTAACATCTGGGGAATAAGAGACACAACATTCTTGTTGCTGCTGCTGTTACAAGCCCTGGCTCCTGTGATTAGTGATTAGTGACAACTATAAGCACTATTTTACCTCGACTAAGATGATAAGACACATAAATGAATCGTTTCATTGTCTTGGGCATATTAATACACTGGCGAGACAAAAATGAGATTTAAAAGTACAGTATGAAAAAAACGCATTAATTTTAAGTTATTTACCCAAAAGAATTAAAAAAAGGTGGTTTGATGTTAACAAATTGCAAATGAAATAAGACCCAATATGAACGTACAAGCAGATCTTTGCAATTCGGATGCTGTTACTTCCAAATTATGTGAAATGCTTGGCATAGTAAATCATTTGTGGTATACTTGGAACTATTATTCTGTCTGTTTTCCAAGTATTGAAAGAAATTCATATCATGTATTTTAATTTAGCACAACAGTAGTTTATTATAATTTTTCTAGGTATATTTCTGAAGTTATGTATCATGTATCATTTGAGAAGATAATTTTTACATCAATGCATGGATGAGTCAAAACTTTCAGCTATTTATTTGCCTTTAAATAGGAATTAAGACCAAGCTTTAGGTTTCAAAGAAAAAAAAGATCTTAAAGATGACTCAGCCTAAATTCTTTACTTTAGGGGCAGAGAAACTGAGGGCAGCAAAGACAGAAGCCAAGTCCAGCATCGCCTAGGCCGTAAATCATGAATATAGGAAGGATTCAACTTGTGGCCGTCTGACTCTGGATTGAGTCCATGCTTACCAAAAAGATACAATGAAGTTTTAAATAGATTTTTATTGGTTTTTTGTTTTTACTTTGTCTAGATTTCACCTTGTATATTGCCCCCCTGACAGAGAACTGTCTTTCCTAACCAGGACTTAAAAAAAAAAAAAGGCAAAGAGGAAGAGAAAACATAATTTTGTAAAACCAATATATTGGGGGGAGGGTGGCAGACACTCTATGCAATATTTCATACTTGTGGGCGTCCCCCCCCTCTGCAGAGGCGTAAGGGGAGGAGATGTCTCCTAGCTCTTCTTCGGGCTCAGCTTTCTTTATAATTTGGCCACATTTAGCTTTAATTGAGTTGTCTCATTACCCTAAATTCTTTCTAGTTACACTGTCACAGTCATTGTGTGAGCTGTCTTCCCGGCTTTGTTTACATCATATGCTGAAGTGTAAGTCTTTCCACCAGAGCATAAGTCATTTTCTTGTACATTAATGTATTACAATTCATTCAGCTATCTTCAATCAATGGGCATCTACTTGTTTCCAGTTCTTTGTTACCACAAAAAAAAGTGCTGCTGTAAATATATTGGTGTATACGGAACCTCACTTTCTATCACTGACCTCCTTGAAGGATATATGCCTAGTAATGCAATCTCAGTATGTATTCAGTTCCTCTGTGGAATTCTAAAGTGTTTTCCAGAATCATCATACAAATTCACAGCTCCACCAACAATGCATAAGTGTGCTTGTCTCACCACAACTCCTCTAGCACTGATTAGCCCATCTTTTGTCATCTCTGCCAACTTACTAGGCATGAAGTGAAGCCTTAGAGTTATCCTGAATTGCCTTTCTCTTATTGCCACTGATGAGGTGGATCCTTTCATATGGTTTTTAATAGTTTACAATTCTTCTTTTGAGAACTATCTGTTCTTTTGACCGTGGATCTACTGGGGAATGGCTTTGGATAAATAGCTTTTACAACAGCAGTCTGACAAGATAATCACCAATACAACATGGAAAGAAAACAAATATGGAATCCAACATATATCCTAACGGTGCTGAGTATTCCTATGTGATTAACAAGATTTGGAATTCAAAGTGGCCAGAGAAATGACTGAATTCAAATCGCCTTTTTCTACACAAGAGGGAACCAGGGCCAAAGAAAGGAGGATAGCTTGTTCCAAGTCACTGAGGCAGCAGATCCAGGCGCAAATGCAGACCAGTCTCTCGAATCTCAATCTGGCTTGTCTGTGTATAGTGTCACACTGCTACTCATTTGGGTGAAAAATGAATCCATGTCCACGACAGGATTTTCTGGGCTTAAGAACAGGCAGCACTGTTAACGAGCACGTTCTCAGGAGGGGATGTCAGAGATCGTCAGTTCACTTCCCCACTTCTCCAGAAGCGGAAGCTGGGCAAGGTAAGTGGCCCGCTCCAAGGAGCACAAGCGGCTGCTTGTTCTCAGCCTGCAAAGTCCTGGCTTAATAACCATTCCACCAGCTGCTCGTGCTCCCTAGTGTTATCCAAAGGCACCACATCATAAAGACCCTTCACCACTAGAAAGAGGCCTCAGATGGGCCATCTAGTCTGGCCCTTTGCTGAAGAATGTCTTACACGACGGATCCTCTCCTGGTCATCTACCAGCGCTTCTTAAGCTGTGGGCCGAGACCCCGTGGGGTCGCATTTAGGAAGTGCTGAAAGGGTCGTGAGTGGAAAAAGTGTAAGAAGGGCTGATCTAGGCCACTTGCTTGAAGACCTTCTTCTCCTAATCCCTGCTGGGATGACTCTTACCATGAGACTTTTCCCTCTCCTATTAAGCCCAAATCTCCTCCTTTAAAACACCCTGATATCCTAGCAGTTTTACACACTAGGGCCAAGAGCAGCAAGTTCCCAAGCCAGCCCCTCAAATATGTGGCAGCTGGTGAGCCACCCTGTGTGGATCTTCTTGTGGCACTCCTCCAGCCCTTGTCAGCTTAACAACGTATGTAACGGTAACAGGCAGATGAAAGTGAGACTGAGAGAAATGATTATTAAATAACAACCTACTGGGGAGATCCCCGACCTTTCCCAAAATTTTACTCTACCAAGAATATTACCATATCTAGATGGGGCTACTGCCCCACTCAGCTATAACTTAATTCTACAAAGCTTCAAATTCTTACAAAGAATTTAATCTAAGGTGAATTCTGGCCCATTGTGTCCCACTCAGGCAGGTTTGGCCCAGGGGTGGGGTGGTAGATCCCTTGTCTACACTGCCTAAGGCTGAAGGGGATTTGGAAGTAAATAACATGATCAAAGTCACATACATCCTTCAGCCCCTCATTAGAATAGATCCACCTCTCATTAAAACAGTCACTCTCATTACTTGTTAACCAATCAGAGTGGATTGCCACCCTCAGGAATGCCCACTGTTCTAAGGGTATATAAGCACTGAGTGGGTTCCATGAGGGGGCTTTGGCATTTGAAAGTGTTACTGACCCCTTTCATTAATTATATGCTGGCATATTACTAAAATGATTAATTACCCAGAAACTATGTCTCTCAAACTTTTTATATGTCAAATATCACTTCCCCAGTCACGGGCATCACGTCTCTCCTTATTTCAGACAAAGACTGAATTAGATTTTTAAAAATTGCCTTTTAATAATACATTCTAGAATTCTGCCAGGAACCAAAGTCAAGCTCGCCGTTGTACAGTTTATAGTCTGTGGACTCAGAGAAAACTTACAGGAGATGGGAGGCCTGCTCGTTCATTTTACAGAGAGGACATTGAGGCTCAGAGAGCCACTTACCTGCCATTTTCCATCTTTACAAACTGTTCCCTTTCTTCCCCTTACATGATTCTGAAAAATCACATGGCTCTCAGGCTCAGCAATCTTAGCCACCAGCCCCTTGAGGCAATCTAAAGCATTAGGTGCTGATTAGACCCTGCTGCCTGCTACCCTGGCACTGCATTTGATGTTCACGGCAATCCTGGGTCAAAGCTTCTAGCCTCAGCAGGAGGACTCAGGGACTCAGCCTTCTCATCTGAAAGGCAGTTACACGGTAGGACTGGCTCTCTGAGATCCCTTACAGTTATTAATCCTCTAAGATTCTACACTCTCTAGGCATAAACACAGAAGGTAAACGTTAAGTTCTCTGAAATGGATCTGACAAATTTTCAGCTCTATTTCCTGGACAGGCTATAGGGTAGATCACAGAACGAAATCCTGCTGGTTAAAATGTACATGTGGTACACTAGGTGGAATAATGGATATAGTGCTGGACTTGGAGTCAGTGAGACTCGAGTTCCAATCCAGCTTTGACACTCACTAACTTGCACGTGACCAAGGGCAAGTTACCCTGTTTCCTCATCTGTAAAATGAGAATATCAACACTATGTCCTATCTCACAGGACTGCTGTGACAGTCAAATGAATCACAGGCACATGCAATTAGGGTTACAAGTGATCTGCAAACCACACAGCACTGTAGAAATGTTACCTATTATCACATAGATAACCTTATTACATATACATTTTATATCACACACACATAATGTATAAAAGAAAGTCCAAAAGTCTTAATGCAGTTTTATACTTTTAATAACTTATGAAAATGGGCTCACTCAAAAAAAAAAGGCAGAGGGTCTGCCCGGGTGCTTCCCCTTGGGGCTGCCAGGTAACAACCCTGAGCACTAGTGGCCTCTCCTCTCGGGCTTGCACTCCCAGCTGAGGAGCCAGGCCCTTCCCCCCTTCTCCCCACTTGTTGCTACTTGCTCCAACATCTTTGTGAAATTGCCTCTTAAAAGTTAAACAAACATCAATGTGCTGCTGTTACAATGGGCAAATATTTCCTGTTTCAATATTTTGTAAACTTTAAGGGCATTAAGACTTTAGAGAACACATTCTTAAACAACAATGGTCCTTTTTTCACTGAGCATTCTTCTTGGTAATAAAGAAGCAAGAGGAAAAAAACCTAAATTCATGCTCCCTCCGACAGATTTATTTCCAAAGCCTTCCAGGAAACAAGTGTGTCTCATCTCCCACCCAGGCTGTCCCAACTTTGAGGATGTGTTCTTGTTGGTTT